TTTCAAGCCACGCCTTTTAACCTACCGTGATAACTTCAAGTATGTGCCTCTGTGAACAAGAAAACACTGTGGGAAGGTAGAGTGAGCATGACTTGTATAGCCGACTAAACAGGGCACGCGAAGAGGAAGCGCCCACTATGCATGTGGTTGTCTGCCAAATTCCGGAGAGATTAAGTTTAGGAGTAAGGTGAGGGTTAGATTTACGGTTTGGGCTAAGGTCAGAGGCAGGGTTAGGTTAAGGCTCGGGTTTGTGTTAAAATTAGGGTTTAGGCTAAGGGTAGAGTAAAACGGCCTGTTTAAGGTGCACGGGGTGTTCCTATTCCCGTGTCCTGTTAAGGTAGTCAGACAAGTCTTTCTTACCGAATGTACTTCGATGATCTACTCGCGAGTGCCAAGAATGACGAAGGGGCAGAGGATCTACTTATTACAAAAAACAGCCTACATTCCAAGATTACATTTTGACTGAAAAGCGAACGGAGTAACAAACGGTCTTTGACGATACACAAAAAAACATGTTCATGAGGTTTCTTGGGAATGCTGAATACAGGCGGGGCCCCAAAAGCCGCTCGGAAGGCAGTCAGTGCGCCAGATTTCAGTCCTAAGCGCCCCGGTAACACTACCGTTGCCGTGTCCACGACTGCTTATTCGCCAGACCCGGAAGCCTGTTTATTTCGCAGCGAACCTCCGCCACCTGTGGATGCGCCAGGTAGCCAGCCGCTAGGCTAACGGGTAACCCACCTTTCGAAGTTAGCCGATTTCTCGACATCATTACGTATGGACAGAAACACGGCTTAATCTGACAATCAGTTTTCCATAAGGTATTCACCTATCATGAAGATCGTGTCGGTATAACGCATACGACACTTAGTCTGCACTGGCTTCGGAAGGGGACAATTTTTTCAGGGAGATACAAGAATCAGAATGTTCCAGTGCCAGGGCACCCATGATTCTAGCGTCCGTTTCATACGTAAGTTGAAAAGGGGTCGGAACTGTCCGTGCCGAAAGTGTGTTATAATATCCGTGCTCTCGGTGGCGGATATTATCGTAAACATAATCAACCGAAGGCTTCGATGCACAATCGAGCGGACTCATGAAAGATCAACTGAACTTCTGACATGTGATTTTAGTGAGAAAGATTAACTTACGTGGGGTTTTACTACTGATTATCATATAGTATCATTTAAGAACACATCAGACACATAAAGATGCCGCTTTTGAATGCACACCTTTGCGGTGAGTTAAGAAAAGCATGCTCGATAAAAAAAATAGCTGTATAAACAGTATGATTTTTTTCACTACATCCGATGCCACTCCAAGAATAAACGTACTAGTGAAAAAGCATGCACAAAAGCATACTTCTCAATGAACATCTTGCTGCTAATTACGCTTTCCTTAAATTGTATCCGTCAAAAATGGCATCTTTCATTAAGGGAAAAACGGGTTCTTAATCTCCGAATAATTTTAATGCCGACCTATACTTGCACACACGGTTTGGGTTTAGAAACTACGAGCTGACACCTTCCGACTATGAAAAATAGTACCTAGCACGATGCTATTAAGGGGACATCATATAGGCTTCATAAAAGGTTGCATTGGGGATGGATCATAAGAGCATAAAAGGAGCATTAAGAAATACTTAGATAAGAAATCATCTGCATAGACAGTGCACAGTCATAAAAAGTGTCATCATTGCAAACTCTCTAAAACCAAAAGCTATTCTTCCTTTGAAGAGACAAGTTAAAGGAGATGTAATATGCTACAAAATGAGTAGAGAAAATAATATTTTTGCGCATGCATTGTACAAATGTGTTCTGATTTATAAAGACATCGGAAATAACTTTGAAATTGCAGCCAATATTTTCAACTGCGGTTTTTCCAGACGGTCGGGAAGACGCGTACTCAAAAAGTGACACCCTGATATAACTGAAATATCTTGGTAATATGCGGCAAGCTAGTCAATATTATAACCCTACCCAATTCAATCTTTCTAGCCGAAACCACATGTCCGAACTTCAGATTACATATCGCGAGTTAGGCTACCTACTATATAACGCGGCCCAGCTCATACTTAACAGTCACACTATGACAATTTTATTCAAAGGGACGAAGGATGTTTTGCCTCTGAATGCCACATCAACTGTGCTCGTGAAAGCACATGCATGCCATTGCATTGGACAAAAGCAAGAGTGGCTGGCAACCAGTTCAGTGCAGCCTTTGCGTAAATGGTGTCAGAAAACACTAAACGCGTACTAAGCCTTGGACACTATGGAAGCAAAACACCTTCCGAGTATTTGCTCGGGCATGAACAGCGTTGCCTGAAAGTTCTGTTTAAAAGTGGTCAGCGTACAAGGGGAAAGACTCGACCTGTGCAAACAACAAGACGTTGTAATAAACGTGATCTCCCTCGGATAAACTCTAGAGGCTTGATGTACAAATCTCGTTACCAGGCGCTTTTTTCTGTTTGCTATTTCATTCTTAGGTGCCATGGGATGGACAGCTAGACTGTGTGCTTCAAATTGTGACCTTTACCTTTTTTCATATTGATTTTGTAAACCAAAGCAAGCCACAGTGAATTCGCGACCAGGCAACCATTTTATGAGGCAACAAGAAGCAGTTAATAAACAGTCGCAATTTTGTTTGGTATCAATAAATCCCGCCATTTAGGTTTGTTCTAAATTGCCACCAGGTCTAAATGCTTTAAGGACTGTAAGTGAACACAAAAATATGCAGGATCTCTGAACAAGCCGAAGGGAGAGGGAGAAGTGATCTGACCGCAGGCGTGACGAGATTATCTCTATACAGACTTTAACTGTCTAAATCCAAACCCAAGCGCGGCTTCGACGTGCAAGGGGTTGTGGATTGGAAAGTTGACAACTGATGACACATATCAGGCTCCGTAGTCAGCCACCTGTGCGTGGAGTGACTGAACGATGACCTGTCATTAACACTCAGTGGCTTCCTTTTAATGAGTGCGGTAGATGTTGTGCAAGTGTAATATTGTTAGAAATTAATTCACGCCTAAGTCGCTGCCTCTGTGCTCGCCAGGCCTTGATCGTGACGGTTGAACTGTCACAAGTAATAGACAAAAATCGACAATGTGAACACCGAGTGTTGACGGATAATTTAGCCTTGCCCTATACGACGGCTTTGTTTGTGGCCATTTTCGGCTGCTTATTGTTGGACACAGGATATCATCGAGATGGCGCCGCTCTAATCTACCTTATCTACCTGAAATCAAGTCGCTGCGGGCACTGGCAGAGAGGAGAACACTCATTGGTCGGACTGACTTGATCTATCAGCTTCTAAAAGTCAGACTGTGGAATGGAACTGCTGACAATGAGACAAGACGGAAATGTTGAGTTCTATTGTTTCCGAAGAAAGGAAGGCAGACAATGGCAGAAAAAACTTGAGGGCGAAAATGATAAAATTTAGAGTCTATAATGCTAAGGGTTTTTTTTTTAATAATTTTTAGAGGAGGAAGAGAAAGCTACGAGGGGAGAAGAAGAGGAAGAAAGGAGGCGATGAGGAGGATGGGAGGAGGGAGGCAAGAGATAGAGAAGGGAGAAGGAGATAACGACTACGATAAGAGGTTTTAGCTTCAAGGGATGAGGGAGAAGGGGAAGGATTAGGAGTAAGAGGACGAGGGTGAGGAGGTGACGGAGGGCGGAAAGAATGGGTGAAGAAGAGATTGAAGAATACGAAGGAGAGGGCCAGGGTGGAGGGGAGGTTCTGGAAGGGCGGCGACTCAAAAAGCATGACAGTGGTTGGCTAATTAGAAGGCAGACAACGAAAGACTCATTATTGCTGTTGTGCTAGGCAATAAGACGTTGGAAGGTAAACAGGTATAAAGCCGACAGAACAGAAGGCCCGGGGAAACAGAACTGACAAAGGCTAATTAGCGAAAATTTTCGACCACACAGAAAAAGGAAGCAGTAAAATCAATGACACGACAGAGCGATGGAGAAGATGAAAGGAGATACGAATCTGAAACCATGCGTCGGCACCAAAGAGACGCGGAGCTAAATAGGGCATTACGAATGTTGCGCAAGCAGTAAATGACCACCAGTTAGACAAACCGGAACTGGGAGGTGAAAAAATGCAGCTGGTAAAAGCGGCTATCTTCGTGGTGCTGCAGATGGAAATGTCTCGATTACCCTATTAACATCATATGCTGATATGTTGGTCAAAAAATTGGTCAAATTACCCAAAGTAACTGAAAATGTGAGAACACCGGCTCTCGCTTCTTTCGAAGCATAGAATTCTCCCAAATCGATTATTGTGACAGTCTAACTATCGCTGTTGTGTGTGTCCAGGTTTCATCGATAGGAGACATTAGAGTGCCTACCTTCATTTTTCAGTGATCGAAATCTCTTTCCATCTACATTTTTTTAATCAGATATTGTGACGTCACCGAAATTACGAAGGTAGTGGCAAAGACAGTTTAAATAATGCTCCTCATATACCCCTTAACTCAGCATTTTGTCTTACGGAAACGGTTGTTATGGGAATTTTGGAGATGGGGAAATAGGATAAGCAGTGAAGGAAATTTGTAGAAGAAAGTCGAAAGTGGAAAAATGTAGCTGAATTTGTTTCCCGCGGCCGCCGGTAGTAAGTTGTTCCGCATGTAAATTGAAGGTGTGCGCAGCGCTTCACTCCGCGGACTATACTACTCTAACTCCAGAACGGCAAGTTGGATTTCATGTAATTTGAAGCAGGCGACCTCCTAACCACCATTTCTATTTTTTCAGGAATTTCAAGAAACCTGTATTTTGATAATCGGGTTTTCCGCAATACGTTAAACAATAATACAGATTAAGAAAATCTACGGATATAAACCAAAAAAATTTATAAAAACAATAAAATAAAAATGCATATAACAGTTATTAAAGTATATTCCACTGCCTATCCTTATTCCCCCTCATAGAACCCCTATAACCACCGTTTCCGTAGAACAAAATGCTGGGGTTGGGGGCATATGAGGTGCACTACTTAAACTACTGTTGTCCTATATTCCACTCCATGCCGACTAGATAGGAAACTACCTTGGCAACAGCACTTAAACTACCTTTGCCGAAAAACGTTTTAAGAAATTTACCCAACTTTAACGTTTTACTATACCAATCAGCTGCTTAAATGTTCGCAATGTAAGCACACGATAACACTGTGAAGAAGTACAGAGGATAGGTTATCCATTGAAATTTTAACTAGAAATCTAAAATGTTTTCGATCAGAAAAGATTATTTGGATAGAGTTGCAATATTCGTTTATCGTGCAGCATAATAGCAAGATATTTCAGTCACGTCAGGATATCGGCTTTTGAACGAGCTTCTTATCAGCCGCCTGCAAAACCTACATTGTGTAAAAAATGACTACTAACATAGTATGCATTTTTCTTATTGATTTTTGATGCTCGTATTAATTCAAATACATTTTATATAATACCTTGTAAAATGTGCTTTGTACTCATTTTGTAGCAAACTACCTCTTCTTCACATTTCCCCTTCAAAAAAGCTTGTTTCTCGGTTTTAAAAGTTTGACAATTACTGCACACGATGATCCTAACAGTCACTTGTGCGATAGTTGTTTTATTGACGTACACTTTTACGGCATCCAACTCATTATCCCCCTTACACACCCACTATGCCCAATAATAAGATAAAGTAGAATAAAGAGAATTGGAGGTTCCGCGGGCACAGCGACTTATGAAAGAACTTAACAATCTATCTTCGCGCGTCACATACAGACGGATAAGTAGCTCTGCATGCGTCAAGCTTCACCGAGGATACCACAGCAATATAAGCGAATACGACTTAAGTTGAGTTGACCCAAATGTGAAAAAACTCGAGGCGTTCGGCGGGATTTGAACCCGTATAGTAGAGAAGGCTGTTACCGGAAGCCAAGGCTCTAACCACTTGGGCTACAAAGGCCCCAACTCGCGCCATGAATCTAATCTAATCGATTTTAC